GTGTGTGTGTGAGGGTGTGTGTGTGTGAGGGTGTGTGTGACTCTTAGATGAAACAGATCCAGTGGTTTGTTGGGAGGCGTACGTGCGTGCAGGCGCTGAGCTGATGCGGCGTTCCTCTCTCAGTTGAGGCTTGTCTATAAAAATGTGTAGCCTTGGGTGCTGCTGGTGTATAAGACAGGCGTGTCGCATCACAGTCCAACACTTCAAAAACCAGCATCTAATCCACTCAGGACTGACGCACACGTGTGTGTGTGTGTGTGTTTAATTAATTACATTCCTGAACCAATAGTTTCAGCTTGTAGTTTCTACGCTGCTTCAGTCTTTTTGATAAAATGCTCTTTGTATCGTTTAACCACTGTCATTTCATCTTTATTATACTGTTTGGTTCAGGGTAACAGATTATTAAAAGTTTACCAAAGGATACACATGGTTTTTTTAATCCATTAACGATTTATTCTCTGATCCTCTTGTCTAATACCAATATAACAACCTAATTTGTCATATTTTATTGATTAACTTCTAACCGGAATTAAATAAACAGTTTTGACTTTTATCATTATTAATCATTATTGATTATTATCAATAATAATATTAATAATAACAATAAATGAAAGTTAATTTAAGCTGTACCTTGATGACATCAAATAATCATAAATACCAAACGTCATAAACATAAATTCATAAACTCATCTGTGTGTAAAGGCTCTAATGGAACTAATTATACATTTACCAACTCTATAATTTCATCATTTTTCATGTTATAGGTTTTCACTGCTCTGTGCTAGCTGGTGCTGCTAGCTATCTCTCTCTCACTGTACTTGACTTCTTTACTTAGTTTAAACTAGAGGAACTGCTTGAGGAACGTTTTCTCACTTACAGGTGTGTTGTTAATGGCAGTAATGTTGTCAACCACTGACCAGTAAAAACAACCAGACTAGCAAAGACCCCTGGTTTGCCGGCATTAGCGAATATGCTAATGTCTCTGCCACAGCTCAGGGTGATGATGTGTTCTAGGTGCATACGTTGACTCTCTGCCTCTCAGAGCAGCTCAGGGTGATGATGCATACGTTGACTCTCTGCCTCTCAGACTGAAAACTGAAGCCGAACAGAACCAGAGCTGCGACAGGAAGACAGAGACCGGCAGGTGAAGACAACATCCTTCCTTTAAAAAGTAAAATGCACATTTGAGCTCAACTTGTTCACCGTGTGTCCAGCTGGGCAGCGAGGTCCAAGTCTAAAACAGATGTTATCAAGCACAGACTCCAAAAAGTCTGCTCTGCTGCCTCTTCATCCATTCAATTAGCAGCAGAGAGAAGCAGGTGTGGCCTTAAAGTATGTGTTGGCTTCTCCCCTGCTCTGGATCCAAACCCACAGGACACAAGTATTTATGTCAGAGCCCATCCCACGTCTTATCCTCCTAAATCGTCTGCAAACACACACGCACGCACGCATGCACACACACGATTCCAGTGTTTGAGAAAGTAGTCATTGTTTGGAGTCCTCCTCCACACTTTGATGTGCAGGGGTCAGGCGGCGGCTCCCTCCCCCCCCCCCCCCCCCCCCCCCCCCCCCCCCCCCCGCGCCGGTCATCCAGAGCTTCAGAAACATCTGGAGCAGAGAACCACGCAGAGCCCACTTGGCAGGAGGTTGGTATTGGCACTGGCCTACCTTCCTACCAGGACTCTTTCATCTCAGTTTGAACATGTGGGCCAGGCCCTAACCCTGGGAGGAGTGGAAGGCCCCGCTGCCAGCAGAGAGGACAAGGCGTGGTGGTTGCGAGGAGGAATCTAGGCTCTCCTGCTGTCCTCCGAAGCTCCTACAAGCATTCCTGAACTCCTGTCTCCTCCTGCGGGCACCGGCCTTTTCTACGGCTCCTCCCCACAACTCTGCAGTCAGACCCTGAGCCTCCGTTACGTGTTCAGCTAACACTGATCCATACTAAAGGCCAGCAGCTCAGAGTAATCCCAGAACCTTTATTCCTGTCAGTCACAAATCAAACCTTCGACTCCTCTCATTCCTGAACAGATTCAACTCCAGCAGCAGCTGCTCCAGGCAGTGACTCACCTTCACTTCATCTAAATAATAATTATAATAATAACAATTATTATTTCGTGGCAGTTGTTATTATTATCATTATTATATTTTATGTGTCGTTATATCTAAATAATAAGTAATGGACTAAAAATCAGTGTGCAGTCATTGAATTTGACTTATGTGAGGATGAAAACAACATGACTTCTATGAACAGTCCTGAAAATATCCACAGGTGTCAGTGTGAGGTCAGTCTGTTTACCATGTTACAGTAAAAAATGGAAAAAGAAACACCAGAACCCTTTTTTTGGGGGGGTGAATTGTGTTATTGATATATTTTCAAACGCTATTTTTTAACCAGACGTATTGATTCCTTTTTAACTCCACATTATTTAGTTATTTTATGGCTAACAAAGACCTACATTTAAGGTATTAACAGTGTTCAGTCATTTAAGCTAACACTGAGTTACATCTGATCCAGGTTGTATTCATCTTTTAGCTTTACTCTTTAGGCTAACAAGAGTTACATCTGATCCAGGTTGTATTATCTTTTAGCTTTACTCTTTAGGCTAACGTTTAGCTGTTTCCTACGCCCAGTGGAAATTGATCTGCATCGGTCAGACATTATAGTTTAACCTCGCTACAAACCGTTGCTCGTTCACCACATTTATTCCACAGCACAGAGACTGATGCAGTTTCAATGTCAACAACAAAGTAAAATATCTTTTTGAACTAAACATTTGCTGATGCATCCATTTTATATAACAGCCAGTATCACCTATCACCACCTTTGTTGACCCCCAGGGTCTGGATGCCCCCAGTCCGGGGCCACATATGTAATATAAGTGAGTTATAAATCTGCCAACAGCGATGGAGTTTGTTCACTTTAAATATAACCAGTGTGAATCGGTGACATCATTGACTCTGTGCCAGCTCCTGTCTTTTATGATTTACAACTATACATCGCCCCAGAGCATGCTGGGAGGCCGCTCACTACAGACAATATAAAATTACTGACGGAGAAGTATGTAGGGGAAAGGTTTGTGATGATGTGGTGCAGAAAACAGTCAGATGTGATTCAGCAGTTTAAATAACACACTGAGTGGACACTGGACTGTGACCCGGGTCACTCACCTGACCCACGGTAGAACGCTCCTGGGCCACAATGGAGTGAGGATCGTCCTTCATGTCAGCAGAGGAGCGCGTCTTCTGTCCATCCGTCTGGAAAACAGGACAGAGGGGAAGTTTGGTTAAAACACCTGGAGGAGCCTCCCACACATGACATCACTGTGGAGATGCTGTGTTGTGAACGGCATCAGTGATCCACCAGGATGGGCCTCAAATGGAGCGTGAAACCAACACCATTAGTCCAGTCCAGACAGGCTGTGGGGTCACGTCAGCGAACGACCTGCTGACCCCAGAGTGAATGAGTGACTTCAAATGGACAACTGTAGTATCTCATCATGCTAATGTTTTATACATGCTCTTTTCTACAGCCGTCTGCTCTGGCTGTGGTCTTTTAGTGGCCATTTTCACAAAAATAATTAAAACATTTTAATCCTTGGAATTTTTATTTATCACCGATAATCTAATGCTTCCAGTGATGCCGCCGCTGTTAATGCTACATCTATAGGAGCCCAGGAAATAGCAAAGTATATCTTCATTTATCTTCAAATAAAACTCCCATTTTCTGTCCCTCCCCTCCAACACTACACAAACATTTGTCTCAGGACTGTTAGCTCACCTTTGTGTAACTGAAACTAAACAAGTTTGATAATCACTTGAATGAAATAGCTGTGTCAGTCATGACACTGCTAAACACATTAGTAAGCTCTGAGGAAATGCTAAAAACAGTTAGCATCACACTAAAGCACCCTGTTAAGAAACATATTATTTTCTATTTAAAGAGGACATTTACAGTAAACAAACAAACAAACAAAGAGTGAAGGTGGTGACAGAGACATTGTTGTATAAAAAACACTCACTGGCAAAAACAGGATTTTACCCTGGTGCTGCATTGGTGAACACAGAAGAGCTAGCAGCAGCATGGCTCTCAAGTTAGCCTATGGGGTGGAGCCCACAGGGGCGGGGTCTACAGGGGCGAGGTCTACACGGGGTGTGGTCTGTATGGGCGGGGTTTACAGGGGCAGGGAGTGGGGGAACTGATAAAGTTGTAGGTTTGAATTCCAACCTTGACTTTGGTGTGTTAAACTAGCAACATACTTCTTAAGGCAGTAAAGTGTTGTCCACTGCTTCAGTCTCATTGGTGGGTTCATTGCAGAGGACAAATATCATTTTATATGAACACTACTGTAAGAAATAAAGCTGCTGCTGCTTCTTTGTTTAATTACAACTTTTAAAAAAAGTGACCGGCGCTGAAGACACAGAGTTGTACTTCAAATCTAAAGGAGTTTATTCTTGTTACAGCGGCTACATCACTGGAACAGCTCAGAACTTCTGCTCTGAGACACCAGACCTACGCAGTGTTATTGTGTTGCTAACCTGAAGCCAATCCATCATCGCCTCCACCATTGCAGCCCCAGTAGGTCATGGACTGTGACCTCTTCCATCTCTGACCCGAGCCTCGTACAATCAAAAATTCCTCACACGTTTTCCATTCTTCCCAAAACAACTGTCGGGGTTAATGAACCACGCAGCGCAGCACACAACGTCCCGCCAAGCAGCATGGATCTGCAGCACAGCTGCTGGAGGTGCTGTCATGCACAGAGGCTAATGTTAATCATTTCCCACATGTCCATTAGACTAGAACAGATGGAGGCACGCCATGGACTGACTGAATTAGCCTGGCGCTAAATGAAGCGGGAGGCTAAGAAACGCTCTGGCTGGAGACAATACAGTGCGAAAAGAATTTTTTTTTACATAAAGTCAAGAGTCAACAATGAATAATAGCAGCTAGCTAGCTTCAGTGGTAGCCACTTTGGACCTGTTTGCTTATTTCGTATTTTATAGACATGCTAGCATATTATATTTAAGTTACTGATAAGAGCTCATTAGTAAAAATATACAATTATTCAGACATTTTGTTATTTATTTATTTATAGCGGACACATTTTCCTCCTTTTAAACTTTTGTCCTGGGTTCGGTTGTGGACATGAAAGAAAGACATATGATATTAATGTTGGTATAAAATGCTTTAATAAATAATAGATCAGAATTGTTCAAGGAACAAACAATAAATCCACTAACAAACCAAAAAACTTTTGACCAGATTTTGTACAGGAAAACAGTCTGCACATTTAACGACCTCCTGTGGAGCAAACAGGTTGTGGAACAGTCTGTCAGAAAACAAAAACCAGTTAGGCTCACATGTGAAGGTGAATTCATTTGACATGTTTTAATCAAACTGTTACCACTGCGAAGGTTTTGTCACATTTCTCTCTTCCTGTGAGATCTTATTCTGCAGAAACTGACGTTTTCACAAACACTGGACATTAAAAGCAACCACAACAACAGTCAGCCACAGCAACGACAGTCAGCCACAGCAACG